TTTTTTTTTAATGCCAGAGACAAGGATGGGGAGAGTGGAAAGCACCCTCCCCTGGGGCCTGATCATGCCACAATCCTTTTCCCTCCAACTCTCCATCCTGTTGGCATCTTGGGTACACATATGTGCCTGGTGTGTTTTTCGAGCTACCAGGGCTGGTACTCAAACTCTGGCTGGCCATGTGGGATCAGGCTGCTTCTGTGCAGTGCTTAACCACTGTGCTACATGGCCCAAGACTCTCAATGACGTCATGTAACATCTGGATCTAACCTTGTCTGAAGCGATTGTATTCTAGACTTTCAGTTACACAGCCAATCTTTTGCCTCCTGTTTTAGTCCATTTTCTTTTGCTATGATGGGAAACCACAGGCTGGATAATTTATAAAGAAAAGAAGTTAATTAGCTCACCATTCTGGACACGGGGCAGTCCAAGGGCATTGTGTTGGTACACTGACGTTATCCAAATCACTACCTCATTGACAACGTGAATCTGTTCAGGAGAGCTCACCCTCATCACCCAATCACCTCTCTTTAGGCCACACCTTCCAACACAAGAACTTAAGGGATATAGTCAAACAATAGTGCTCTCTATTTTTGATCGCAGCCAGTCTGAACTAATCTTCTGTAACTTGAAACTAAGGAGTACTTTTTCACAATAAAAAGGTTGTTTTTTTTAAGTGATTTTTTGCTATAGGGTATATGCACTCACCAGAGAGAGAAAAAGTGAGAAATCAACCCCACCCCGGGGGGTGGGTGGGTGGGATGGCCATGTCACAACCCCTTCTCCTTTATTCTCCTCTCAGGATTTTGGGCACACATGGTCACAAGCCCAGCGTGATCTTAAAGGCTCTGGGTCCCAGAATTGAACTGTGGTGGACCATGTGGGAGTACAGCACTTTAACCGCTATGACACCTGCTGGGTCCAATAAAGATTGTTTTTAAAAATCATGTTGGGGGTTGGCCCTGTAGCCTAGTGGGTTAAGAGAGCTGGATCTCACATGGCTGACCAGAATTTGAATCGCAGCTCTTGTGGCTTGAAAAACATATAGGGCACATGTGCCCCAAATCCTGACAGCATGGAGAGATGGAAGAGAAGGGATTGAGGTGTGGCCGCACCCACTAGGGGGTGCTTTTATCCTCCCCTCTCTGCCCCTCTGGCTCATGCAAGCCCCTCTGGCAATTGAAAATAAAAAATCACTTGCTGAGCAAAGCCATGATTGGAGACGGTTGATGCTCGGGATGATTGTAACTGAAGAGATTTTCCTGGCAGAGCAAATGTGTGTGTTAGCAAAATGACTAAATTCCTGGGCCTTTCCTAGTTATCTCTGGGTGGCTGGGTCTTTGAACATTTCATCTGTTTATTGACAGCTGCGCTTGACAAGGTTGTCGTAACTCTCAACGTGGCATGTGAGAGGAGGAAGATGGCGCTGTCTGGGGGACAGCTCTGTGGCACAGAGCCCGCACTTGTAATGACAATAGGTATTAAGCTAGTTTGGCACAAACTAGCCAAAGTCCGTGTCGCATGTCTTCAAAAAGTGATAGGGCTTTCAAGTAAGATATTCTGTGAGTCAACAAAATGTGTGTGTGTGTGGGGGGAGGGAATAGAAAGCAACTATAAATACCAGAGACAATGTGGGAGAAGGCTGGGGAATGGTAGAAGGAATCAAATGATAAATAGGGAATCAAAAAAAAATATATATATATGAAACAAGAAATGGAAAATTATTTGTTGATAATATGTATGATTAAGCTACTATACAGAGTATTCACGTTTTGTATGCTGTGATGATGTTCAGTGGATAAATGTAAAGTAAATTTAAAAAAAGTGATAGGGCTTAGGGGAAAAGAAAGTCAACCCAATCATGAAAAGAGCCCTGAAATATGAATCAAAGATTTGTTTTCTTTTCTTCTCTTCTCTTTTCTTTCTTTTCTTTATTGAGAGGTTTTTGCTATAGGGCATGTGTGCTCACCAGAAATAGAGAGACAGAAAGTGAGAAATCACCCCCCAGGGGGGATGGCCACACCTGAATCCCCTCTCCTCCACTCTCCTCTCCGGATCCTGGGCATGCGCACGTACACACGCTGGGAGTGAGTTTAAGCCACTGGGTCTGGGACTTGAACCGTGGTCCACTACATGGAAGTCCAGCGACATAGCCATCACTCCAACTACTGGTCCCAAGATTTGTTTTTCAATCCAAATTCTTCAGGTCTTTAGACAAAACAGCTCACTTCCTAGGCCCCGGTTTTCTTTCCCAGAGAGTGAGAACCTGAGGCCAAGTGATTCCAGTGAAAGCTTCCACTTCCCACATTCTCTGATGCCATAAACATCTGCATTCCTGAATATTCATCTCAAATTTGCAAACATTTCCTCATCGATTAAGAACTATGATAAATATTTGGATCAATTGCCACATTTCTAGAAAGGCTATATTTTTCACCCTTTGGACCGCAGAGAGAGCGGAAAACAACAGGAATAAATGACCGAGGACTTGACCCTGGGAGAAGACGGAGAAGAATGAGACCCCATGCAACGTTTACTGTGGGGGCAGGAAGCGACATTTACTGTGGGGGCAAGAAGATCTTGTCGAGTTCATGCTTCAGCTTCAAGCCCTTGCAACGCCAGCCTGTGATCACAGGTGCTAATTAAATTAATAAACGGCCCTGTGTTCGAACATGTGCCCCACACCTGCTGTGTCACCAGGCGCAGTTTGTTGCCTGGTGTGATTGGAACGGTTTCACCACTTAACGAAGGCAAAAAGAAAATAACAGCAAGCAAGAAAAGCCGACTCCTAGCCAATATGTCCCTAATTTCCCCCCCCCCACACAATGCCTATTAATTTGCGATGACACATTAGGAAACACACATTTCGAATTTGACATCCCCCAATTACTTAGGGCGTGACAACTTAGTTTAATAGTTATTATAATTACAAAAAATAACATCCTGTCCTCACCCAATTAAGGACAAGGATGATAAACTGAGAAATTACAGCTTATAAAAAGAAGGCTTTAGATGCAAACAAGGAACATGGCCATCTCTCCTTAATGATGCTTTAACCAAATGGTCTGGGTGGGGGAGCCTGTATTTGGAATTACTGTAAGTGGCTCGGATGATGTCTCTCCTTTGACTTACTTGGAGAAGCAAAGCGCTTTTGTTTGAGAAAGATATTAAATGTTTTTTTTAGCTTTAGCCACCTTTAGTGTTAATAGACATCCCAGAGGCTGGGCAGCAGAGCAGCGAACACCATGCTCTGTGAGCCTGACCCACTTGGGACGTCCCCGGTCTGGTCTGGGAGTATTCCTGGCGCATGTGCCCATGATCCGGGGCTGGCTGGAACTGGGAGGGGGTGTCGGGTGCAGCATTGACCCTGTTGAGGGTGTTGCCTCTCCCCTTCTCTCTCTATCTTACTCATGGAAGAAATAAAGTTTTTAAAAAGGACATACTTCAGTGTATTAGGATTATATTTAGTCATGAGAAACTCGAAGCCCATTTCCCCCG